TGGCCGGTGATTAATTCTGTTTGGTTGAACATGCTTAGAACATCAATGAACATTATGTAATCTGTTGCGCACTCATGTGACTATAATCAACCATATCAGAAACTTAAATAAATTGACTATCAGATATCAGAAATAACAGGTTATCAGATATTACTTATGGAACTGACATGGTGGACCGAATTTTAATCGTTTATAGCAGTTTATCAGCTTTGACAGGATCAGTTTTGGGAGGGCCGACAGTATAGTGATCAAATATGAAGACCAACTGTCCTCTTGCTTTGGAGAAAGAGGCAGGGTTTATATATCTTTTTCTAATATATTAATTTACTATAGAACATAGTAATTAATTAAGAAAAGACACTTTTTATTAATGGATGAACATTTTTTACTATAGAATAGGCACCATTAGATAGTGGATAAGCACCTTAAAATGATTAAAATTAGAGATTAGGCACCTTTTACTATGGCAAAAACACTTTTCCTTATAGGATGAGCACCTTTTACTATAGGATAATCACCTTTTGATATAGGATGAGCATCTTTTAATATAGCAAGATCACTTTTGCTATTTTGGGCTTGTTTGGCTTTGTTTATTCTTAATGTTGTTGTTACATCATTCTGGGCCGTTCTGGGACACTATTTGTATTCAGATAACTTGGTTCAGGTTCTATTTACATCAAACAAACTATTGCTTTAAGAAAATTATCCTAATAAAGTTAATAATAAACTATCATTTGAGCAACTAAAATAAATAAAATATGTTATAAACTATATAAATAAACTAATAATACTATAAAATATACAATAATAATATAAATAATATAATAAAATTTAAGAGAATATAATAAAGAGTACATTTATACATCGCACAGTGCAACGCATATTATACGTCGCTCTATATATTATATAAAAAACTTACTAAGAATATAATAATGATATAAACTTTTATATTAATTAGCTTTTGGTCTCTAAGCAAAAATAACTCAATATTGTATTGTGACTATAAACATGCATATAAGATTCTAACATTCGCTATTTTTAGTAAAACATTTTGGAGCGTAATGACCAGTTTTATGACACAAACCATATTTACGACCACCAGAATTATCATTATCGATTATATCATTATTATTTTGGTTTTGGCTATCTACTTTATTTTTTTCATTATAACCTTTTATTCGCTTGTTTGAGGGTCTGCCTTTACCTCGACGTTTTATTGGATCTTTTACATTATCCGCATTATATATATGATCATTAGACAATCTAATCTTACAGTTTAAACCCGTATTTTCTTTTAGAACCTTTTGATTCGATTGCATATCTGTTTTCCAATTTGCTTCTTTTTCTGAAATATAAGACAATATAATATCGTCCAATGCTTTTTGATCATTATCTTCTAGCGAATAGTTTAATGCTTTTTTGAAATGCCCCATAAGCTGGCCATAATATAATTTTTTATGCATATGTTGATAAATCTGACTTTCTTGCATATTATTATAATGCTTAGGAATGGGATACGTTTCTTGTAAATTATCAGATTGGAACCTTTTAAATCTTTTAGACGATGCTCCAACAAAAGGCTAACTAGAAGCCAAATCAACTTTATTCCACATATCATCCCGAAACCATCGTGTTGGCATCATCTTAATATGAAACAATGCATTTGAATTTTCAACCATGAGTTTAAAGTAATGTCGACAAATAGTTCCATGTGATACTAATAATAAGCATGTACATAAATGCATTCCATCCTTGAGAAGAATAATATGCTGATATGAACTTGTTGTCATATATGGAACAATTCTCTATACTTCACAAATTAATTCTTTTGAAACTGAATTTATTAGTGTTTTTAAATATGCCTGTCGATGGTCATAATGGTCTTCAATATTTGTAATATCTTCATTATCTTGATTATCCCTAATAGTACCTCATTCTAAAATTATATAATATATATTAGTTAATATATCTTTAACTAATACTAATGCTAAACTAACCCTAAACTAACCTTAAACTAACCCTAACCCTAACCCTAACCCTAACCCTTTTCTAACCCTAAACTAACCTTAAACTAACGCTAACTCTAACCACTAGTATACTTCGCATAAACTTTTCTTATACTAAAT